GAAGCTACCTCTACCCTGAATTTTATATCAATTACTCCTTTGTTTCCTTTTTTGTTTAGTTATATCACATATGTATACATCCCTGTACAATATATTGTATAGTTCAACTCGATTCTGAAGTTTATAAAAATGACATCATATTGTATAGATGGTTCTAGGACTTTTTCAACTTACGTTTCCAGGACTTATTTATACTATTGCATGCAACTGCATTTTCATTGCTTTATAATTGTCCCCTTATAAGACTCTTATCAACATTTATTTATCCATTTTCTTGTTGATGAATTTAGATTTATTTCTGGGTTTGCTATTATGAAAAATATTTCTATGAATATTTATGTACATATCTCCTGGCACATATATGTAAGAGGTTCTGCTGTATATCTGAGTAAAATTATTTGGTCAAGTATTCATATTTATAAAATAGTGCCAAATATTTTCTAAAGTGGTCGCTACAAACTACACTTGGTCCAGCAGTAAAGAAAAGTCCTCCTTGATTCATAGCCTTAGCAACGCTGGGTCTTCTAAGACTTCCAATTTTTTTCCCAACTAGTAGATGAAAAACCATCTCTCACTGTGATACTGTTTTTGCATTTGCATTTTCCCAATCACTAACAAAGTTGAGCATTATTTTATATGTTTAGTTATCATTTGTGTTTCTTTTTCAGAAAAATGCCTCTTCATGGTTTTTGCACATATTTCTTATTGATTTCTAGGAATCTTTTGTATTCTAGGTACAAATTCTTTTTTAGTTATATGCATTGTGAATATCTTTTCCTAGTGTATAGCTTGAATTGTTACATTCTTTCTTGTATATTTTGATGACCAGAAGTTCCTAATGAAAATATAGTCAGATGTATCAATCTTTTAATTTTTTTATGTATTTTGTTCCTTTTGAAAAAAAAAATCCTTTTCTAGGTCATTAATGTGAAAGAGCAAACGAAAACAACTTTTAGAAGACAAGGGGACGGCTCATTAAGTCTTTAAGCCACCTGGAATTAATTTTTGAGTAGCCTATGAGGTAGGAGTCAAGTTTCATTGTTTTCCATAAAAACAATAATTAGCCCACAATTGTTTTACTAAATAGTTTTTTCTTTCCTTATTGATCTGTATGCCCACCCTGTCATGAATTACGTCTCCATGCTTCTGACTGTCCGCTTCTGGCTCTCTGTTCTGCTCCATGGACTGTTTGTCTAGGCCCTGACAGCACCGACACATCTTCCCTTTTGACACTTTCTCATAAAATATAAATCTGATGAGGCAAGCTTCACCTCCTACCCATCTGGTTTTTCAGAAGTAACATAGCTATTTTGGGCTTTTTTCATACACACACACACACACACACACACACACACACACACACACACACGTGTATACATATGTATTTGTCATATATACATATGTGTGTATATATGTATTTGTCATATATATATGTATTTGTCAAGTTCTATGTAAAAAAAACCTCTTAGTATTTTTAAGGAATCCATTGAAGCTAGAGATCAGTTTCTGAATAATTTACATCTTTATTCAATTGAGTCTTTTTATACAAGTGCCTACTATAATTTTCCATTTATTTAAATTTTTTGATGTCATGTATTAAGGTTTATAATTATTTCCATAAAATATGCTTCATGTAAATTTTTGCTACTGAAAATTGTATTTTAAAAATTAAATTTTCTAATTGACCATTTCGGTTATGTAGAAACATATTTTTAAAAATTTTCTGTTTAGATCATAGTTATCAGGAACTAATGACAATATCGTTTCTTTCTTTCCAATGCTGTTATCTATTATTGCTTTTTCTTGTCTCAGTGAAATTGGTAGTACTTACAGTAAAATATTGTTGAATAGCAGGCATCTTTATCTTTTCCTACTACTAAAGACAACACTTTTGAATTTTCATTATTAAATACATTTATCACAAATTTTGCATGCCTTTTATCAAGCAATGATAAAATATTTCCTTCTTTTCCTACTTTTCTAAGACAGTTTATAACAAATGGACTTTTCATTAAAGCATTATTATAAGATTTTCCTTTGTTGAGAATCTGTAAATTTGAGGAGGATATTTATTGATCTCCTCTTATTAAATTAGAATTGAATTCCAGGTATAAATCCTAGTTATGTAATTTGTTTTATCTTTTATTATATTGCTGGATTCTATTTGCTAATATTTTTGTTTATGATTTTTATTTCTGTGTTCGTGTGTGAGATGGGATATGTGATTTTTCTTTCTCATACTATGTTTGTCTGGTTTCAGTATTAAGGTGCTGTTAGCTTCATCAGAGGAGTTAAAGGGCACTCTTCCCTCACCCCACATTGGAACAGTTGGAATAGACTAGAATTCTCTTTTCCCTTGCCTTTGGTAAAACACATCTACAAAGAGATCTGGCCTTGGTATTTGCCTTTGAGAAAATTTTAAGTTCCTTGATGATCATAGGACTATTTAGGCTTTCTATTTTTTCTTGTGTATGTTTTGATAAATAGTATTTATTTTTAGGAATTTATATATTTTATCCAATTTTTCCATTTTTTGACATAAAGTTTTCAATCATATTCTTTTGTCATCTTCTTTATTCAGGACAGGTCTTACCTATGTGCCCATTAAGATTCCTAAATTACAAGGCTGCCTTCTAACTTTTTATTAATGTTTATTAATTCTGCTATTCTTCTTCTAGACTTTTGTGAAGTCATTAATATTGAATTGAAGCTCATTAATATTGAGTCCTTGATTATTTTTAATGTGTCATCAAAAGTTTAAATTTCTCTTGATTTACTGCTTTAGGTATACCTCATATGTGCACAGTGATAGTATAGTCATTGTATTTTAGTTCTAAATGTTATCTAATTTCCTTTTCATTTTTCTTTGAACATGCATTTGTTTAAAAGTGAGCTTTAAAAAATATTCAAAATATAAGGAGTTTTCTAGGTTTTTTTTGTAGTTCACATCTGCGATACTTAAGTTGTACAGCGTGCTTGTCTGGTTAACTACCCTTTGTCAATGTCTAGGCTGGAATATGTGAATGATAAGGAGAATCATGTGGAAATGTCCACATTTTTTATCTTAGTTATTTCCTTTTTTCTGCTTGCTTTGGGCTCAGTTTGGCTCTGCCAGTTTTTAGGAGGACACTTAGATTATTGGATTGAGCTTGTCTTTCATTCTTTAATATAGATTATTAATATTAACATCCTCTTAAGGTACTCTTTAGATGCACCACATTTGATAAGTTGATTTTATTTCATCATCAAAAGTATTTTCAAACTGCCATTGAGACTTTGTTTTTGACTTTTTAAAGAATATGTGTCTATTTCTAAAGTGAGATTTTGAGTTTCGAATTTTTGTTTGTATTTTAAATATCTCTTGTAGGGTCAGAGAGGTATGGTTGATTTCAATTACTTTTATCTGTTAGGGTGCTGTTTGTGACGAATTAGTCTTCTCTGGTGTGTGTTCTATATGCCCTTGAAAGGAATGTTTATCCTACTGGTTCCTTGGTGGTGTGCTATAATTTGTAACTTGGTCAAGTGATTGCTTGTGGTTTCCAGGTCTTCTTGTCTATCAGTTGACTATGTACTTGTTCCTCCATACTCAGAAATATTCTGAAGGTGTGCTGTAATTGTGGATTTGTCTATTTATCTTTTATCAATCAGGTGCATACAAGGTAGGTGATGCACGTTTATATTGCTAGTATCTTTATGGAGATTGACCTTTTGTCATTGTGATGTCCTTTTTATTTCTTGCAATTTCCTTGTTTAGAATTCAAGGTCGCTCCAGCGCCATTTGAAGCACCTTCCGATTAACAGTACCTTCGATTACTGCCTTCCTTTGCGTCAAAGTGCCTATCCAAGTGGAGCACGGCATTGTGTAACATTAGAGTGAGTGTTAACTTAATTCTTTTTTGTGAAATGTCTTATCTTTCTGTCTCAACTTTTTGTATGGAGTTTGTTTTTATGTTCTGTTTGTTTGAGTTAAAAGAAAGAGCACGATAGTTTCTGTAATTATACAGTGTAGGCTATTTTATGATTACGGTATTACACTATTTTATTATCACACAGGAGCCACATACTATTCATTTTTATCACCACCATGCACTTGTCATCAGGGATGCAAGCCACATACACCCAACCTAAAGACGTTTCTCAGGAACATGTCTTGCCCGTAACCCGAGACCCGACACTTTAGCAGTCCACCACTTTCTGAACAAGTAGAATGTTAAAATGGTTTTAACAAATATTTCCTCACCCTTTGTGTTTTTTATTGTCACATAATTTACTTCTATACATGCACCAATTCCGTAAACACATCGCTGGTGTTTCTTGACAGTTGATATTATCTCTATTTACTCACATATGAATCTTTCCTGGTGCTGTTCTTTCACTGCGCTGATAAATGATTTCCCAAAAGATTCAATTTCTTTCTCAATTAATGTATTTTTAGCAAGCAGGGTTGCACAGTGGAAGCATGCTGGGCCCATAAATTAATGTATTTTTAAAATTTAGTGTTATATCTAAATGTTGAATCTTTATTTTGACCTCAGTTTTAAAAGATATTTTTGAGGGCGCGGCGTGGTGGCTACGCTCGTAAATCCTAGCACTTGGGAGGCCGAGGCGGGCGGATGCTCGAGGTCGGAGTTTGAAACCAGCCTGAGAGGGAGCGAGATCCCGGTGTCACCATAAAATGAAAGAAATTAATTGGCCAACTAAATTACATAGAAAATTAGCCGGGCATGGTGGTGCATGCCTGTAGTCCCAGCTTACTCTTGGGGCTGAAGCAGAAGGATTGCTTGGCCCAGGAGTTTGAGGTTGCTGTGAGCTGGGCGCCATGGCACTCTCTAGCCTGGGCAACAAAGTGAGACTCTGTCTCAAAAAAAAAAAAATAATATAAATAAAAATAAAGATATTTGTTGGATATAGAATTCTAGGTTTCAATTTTTTCCTGCATTTTATATGTCTTTTGTTTGTTTTGCTTCGTAGTTTTCTTTTGAAAAATCAACCCTCTGTTGTTCCCTCGAAGATACTATGTCCCTTGCTCACCCTTTTGTCACTTTCTCTTTTGCTCTGATTTTCAGTCATCGGTCTATGATGAGTCTAAAGCCCTAATCACGTAGGATCCTGTCGCTCCTAATAAAGAGTTCAGACTTTATTTGGAGAGATGGATGCAGTAGTTGAAGCCTTTGGACTTGATATGATGTGCATGTCCTGGTGGCTGCAGGTGGAGACCAGGGGCACGGTGGATGCAGGGGAGGATGAGGACACTGCTGCAGTGACCAGGACAAAGGCCATGGCAACCAGGGCAAGGGCCGTGGGGACAGTGAGCTGTGATCAAAGTCGGCCACGTTTTGAAAGTAGCTGAAATAACAATGCATGGGAATATGCATGTGTGTTAGGAAGAAAGAGAAATCAAGGGTCTTTGCTGACTGAGTTTTCGACCTGAGAATCTGGGCAGTGGCAGTGCTATGCCCTGAGAAAGAGACAATCTGAGCTAGGGAAGTAGACTGCGGGAAATCTACGGTTCTCTCTTAATAGCAAGTTTGAGACTCTGGGTAAGGGGAGATGATGAGTAGGAAGCTGAAGTGGGAAGTCTGAGCTAAGCGGCTAGCTCTAAGCCAGAGATCAAAGCAACAACCTTGAAAATCATTCGCGCATGGACGAGGCTGAAAGCCACTGGACTGGGTGAGACCAGCCAGAGACAAGGGTGGACGGGAAGGGACCAAGGGCCGATCGCTGGAGAGGAGTTCCACAGAGAAGGGACAGACAGCAGAAGGGAGCAGGAAGGAGCTCAGAAAGTAGACAAACAGAGAGAGGTGCTTTCAAGAAAGCCAAAAGGAAATGCTTCAGGAAAGAGGGAATCATATTTGCCTTGGTCAAATCAGGATAAAATTTTGCCACTGACTCGGGCAATTTGACAGTGAAACGGTCGTCTCAGTGGACTGGTGGAGAGGAGGACCTGTTTGGAGAGGTTGAGGAGAAAACGGGAGATGAGGAGGTGGAGAAAGTGAAGATAAACTCGGTTTGTGCCGGGTGCGTTGAGGCAAGAAGCCACGAGGAAATCACAAGAGCAGCTGAAGCTGCCCAACCTGCTTGTTCTTCCTAACGTGTCCCTGGTGCTACAGAGAGAATATTCTGTTCACGGTAGCTGGAACAGTGAACACCTAGAAATTAGGAAGACAGGATTTAGGGCCAGTTGTTTGCTTACTAATCATCGAGTATGTCCCTTTTATGTGGATTGACGGAATTCAGCCCCCAGCTCACACAGGAGTTATGGCCAAAGACGTGGATTTCTAAAGAAAAATTCCAAGATTCCAAGAAATTGTTTTCTTCTAAGTTTCTGAGACCTGAAGATGAGTACAGAATCATGACGAAACTTTCTGATTAGAAAGGGAATATATACGTGCATGTGGTTAAACAGAAAATTAAGAAACATAGAAAAATATAGAATGAAAATGTAATCTATTTCCCACTGCCCACTTTGTCCCATTTTCCGGAAGCAACCACTCTCAACAGTTTATTTTGTATCACAAGCCTATCCCTTGTGTTTTACATAAATAAGATAATATTAAACCCACCGCGTCGTAGTTTGCTTTCACTCAGCAAAGTACCATGAAGATCACTCTGTGTCATCACTTGGCGATCTGACCCAGATCTCATATTCTGTTTTATGCATGTGTCATATTTTATTTAAACAGTCCCTTATCAATTTCAGGTTGCTTCTTTGCCCTTCTAACACACCATCCTGCAGTGAACATTTTTTTATGTAACTCTTGTTGTTTGGTAAGTGTATCTATTGGATAAATTCCTCCCACTGGATGCGTATTCTCAAATTTTGTCAGATGTTGCCAAATTGTCTTGAGTTTATACCATCTCCTACAGAATCGGAGGCCCTCTTTCTCCACAAAAATGGTCAATTACATTGATAGCCCCAATTCTTCTCATTCCTTGGACCACGTCCCTTGTCAGTCACTCTGTAGTCCCTCCCACGAAACAAGGGAAGAAAAGTCCTCCACTTGTTGGCTTGGGTTTGGCGGGGATGCGCTTGGGTACGTTGGCACAAACCTACCGCAGCTTCAGGCTCCTGTCCTGCCCAGAGCTGACCCTCCGGATCAGACGGCCCCGGGCCCCTGGACGAGCTGCAGGAACTTGGTCCAGATGGACACCCTGGGAAGGTCGGGGAGACCTCCTGAGCTCCCCAGGTCTTGCTGGCCACTGACATTCCTGCCAGCTGGCGACCCCTGTCCTGGGTGGCATCTCCCAGGCCTGGTGCCATCCTGCTTTCTCTTAGCCGCCTACTGGAAGCCAGACATCACCCCTTGCTTGTTCTTCTTGCTTGAACAGACTTCCCACTCAGCCGCCTTTCTCTGCCCCTTCCTGCGGCATCAGGCAGAGAATTTCTCCTGTCCCCGGAAGGCGGGGGCGGCCGTGGGGCCGTGGTCGTGGTTCACGGGATGGAAACGCAGGTTCGAGCTCAGGATCTCCAACCCCTTTTCCCACCTTCCCGGGCTCCAGAGCCCTATAGCTGGACTTGGAAACATTTTTTTTAATTTCTCCATTTCTTCCCGTGTTTCCCTGAGATCCTCTGATGTCCACACTTGGTTTTCCTGTCATTCCCACAGTCTTGGAGGCACCGAGGGCAGCCTCTAAGGAAGGAGGTGAGGACTGTCCGTGCGACAGTATTTTACCCTCCATGCAAAACACAGCACAAGCAGGTGAGTTAGGAAAGGGAGAAAACCCTGACGTTATTTTCTGTACGTAGTGACTCAACAAGAGTAATAAGAAAACTCCCCCTACAGGCGCTTTATGGTCACTGCAAAGTAAACAGACAGATGTCCTGCAAAATATTTGCTCATCTATACAGAGCACCCAGTGTTTTCATTCAACGCCTTGAAAACAAAACTGCTTCATTAAGGCATCCAGCAGTTCCTGCCCCCGGGAGATGAATAATGCATCGGGAAGGCCCCTCCCGTCCCCAGTCCCTCAGGCCACGATTGCCAAATTCAACAGCAACGCTAAAGGGGTTTTTTGCAAAGAGCTGAAAAGCATCCAGTACATTTTTATTCTTCTTGTTATAAATTCACTGGGTAAAAGAGTGAGTTTTAATAGGGAATATTTGATTCCTCCCAACGTGAGGAATGAAAGAATGTGAAGTGCCACATAAAAACCAGTTGTCACCAAGCGCTCCCTGACCTTGGGCACAGACACACAATCGATAAGTGAGTCAAGGAGAAGCGCCGCGTGGCTGGAATCCCTGACTGGGTTTCCCACTCGTCTCCTTTCAGAAGCTGCGCCGCTCTCGGAAATTAATCTTTATTTGACCTCAGTTTAAAAGATATTTTGAGGCGGCGTGGTGGCTCATGCCTGTAATCCTAGCACTCTGGGAGGCCGAGGGCGGATTGCTCGAGGTCAGGAGTTTGAAACCACCCTGAGCAGGAGTGAGACCCCGTCTTCACTATAAATAGAAAGAAATTAACTGGCCAACTAATATACATAGAAAAATAAGCCGGGCATGGTGGCGCATGCCTGTAGTCCCAGCTACTCTGAGGCTGAAGCAGAAGGATTGCTTGAGCCCAGGAGATTGAGGTTGCTGTGAGCTAGGCTGATGCCACGGCACTCACTCTAGCCTGGGCAACAAAGTGAGACTCTGTCCTCAAAAAAAAAAAATAAAAATAATAAAAATAAAAATAAAAAAAAAGATATTTTTGTTGGATATAGAATTCTAGGTTTTCAAATTTTTTCCTGCATTTTAATTATGTCCTTTTGTTGTCTTCTGCCTTCCATAGTTTCTTTTGAAAAATCAACCCTCTGTTGTTCCCTCGAAGATACTATGTCCCTTGCTCACCTTTTGCACTTTCTCTTTGCTCTGATTTTCAGTCATCGGTCTATGATGAGTCTAAAGCCCTAATCACTAGGATCCTGTCGCTCCTAAAAAGAGTCAGACTTTATTTGGAGAGATGGATGCAGTAGTTGAAGCCTTTGGACTTGATATGATGTGCATGTCCTGGTGGCTGCAGGTGGAGACCAGGGGCACGTGGGATGCAGGGAGGATGAGGACACCTGCTGCAGTACCAGGACAAAGGCCATGGCAACCAGGGCAAGGGCCGTGGGGACAGTGAGCTGTGATCAAAGTCGCCACGTTTTGAAAGTAGCTGGAAAATAAACATGCATGGAATATTGCATGTGTGTTAGGAAGAAAGAGAAATCAAGGGTCTTTGCTGACTGAGTTTTCGACCTTGAGAATCTGGGCAGTGGCAGTGCTATGCCCTGAGAAAGAGACGAATCTGAGCTAGAAGTAGACTGCGGGAATCTACGGTTCTCTCTTAATAGCAAGTTTGAGACTCTGGGTAAGGGGAGATGATGAGTAGGAAGCTGGAAGTGGGAAGTCTGAGCTAAGCGGTAGCTCTAAAGCCAGAGATCAAAGCAACAAACCTTGAAAATCATTGCGCGCATGGGACGAGGCTGAAAAGCCACTGGACTGGGTGAGACCAGCCAGAGACAAGGGTGGACGGGAAGGACCAAGGGCCGATCGCTGGAGAGGATTCCACAGAGAAGGGAACAGGCAGCAGAGGGACAGGAAGAGAGCCAGAAAGTACTGCTTTAGATGCATCCAACACATTCTGATAAGTTGTATTTTTATTTTCATTCAGTTCAAAATATTTTCAAACTCCCATTGAGACTTTGTTTTTGAACCATTCTCTAAAGAAATATGTGTCTAATTTCTAAATAATATTTGAGAATTTTCCAAGCATTTTTTGTTTGATTTTTAAATATAATTCCATTGTAGTCAGAGAGTGTATTGTGTATGATTTCAATTCTTTTACATCTGTTAGGGTGTGTTTTGTGACCCTGAATATAGTCTCTCTTGGTGAGTGTTCTATATGCCCTTGGAAAGAATGTTTATTCTACTGTCCTTGGGTGGAGTGTGCTATGAATTGTAACTTGGTCAAGTTGATTGGTAGTGGTCTCCAGGTCTTCTCTGTCTATACAGATTGACTATCTACTTGTTCCTCCAATTACTCAGAAAATAATGCTGAAGTGTGTAGCTATAATTGTGGATTTGTCTATTTATCTTTTAATCTATATCAGTGCATATAAGGTAGGTGCATGCACAGTTAGTATTGCTATATCTTATATGGGAATTGACCCTTCTGTCATTGTGATGTCCCTTTTTATTTCTTGCAATTTTCCTTGTTCTAGAATCCTCTAGTCCTCTCCAGCGCCATGTCTGACAGCACCTTCCGATTAACGTCCTTCCGATTAACCTGCCTTCTTGCGCCAAAAGTGCCCTTCCAGTGAGCACGACATTGGTGTAACATTAGGTGAGTGTTAACCTCTAATTCTTTTTTGAAATGTCTCTTATCTTCTGTCTAAACTTTTTGTATGAGTTTGTTTTTATGTTCTGTTTGTTTGAGTTAAAAGAAAGAGCACGATAGTTTCTGTAACTTATTACAGTGTAGGGCTATTTTATGATTACAGTATTACACTATATTGTTATTATCACACAGGAGCCACATACTATCATCATTTTTATCACCACACATGCACTGTTCATCAGGGATGCAAGCCACATACAAACCCAACCTAAAGACGTTCTCAGGGACATGTCTTGCCCGTAACCCCGAGACCACCGACACTTTAGCAGTCCCACCACTTTCTGAACAACGTAAGAATGTTAAAATGGTTTAACAAATATTTGTTCCACCCTTTGTGATTTTTTTATTGTCACATAATTTACTTCTATACATGCCACCAATTCCGTAACCACATCGCTGGTGTTATCTTACCCAGTTGATATTAATCTCTATTTACTCACATATGAATCTTTCCTGGTGCTGTTCTTTCCACTGCTGATACATGATTTCCCAAAAGAATTCAATTTCTTTCTCAATTAATGTATTTTTAGCAAGCAGGGTTGCACAGTGGAAGCATGCTGGGCCCATAAATTAATGTATTTTTAAAATTTAGTGTTATATGAAATTAATCTTTATTTGACCTCAGTTGTAAAAGATTTTTGAGCCGGCGTGGTGGCTCATGCCTGTAATCCTAGCACTCTGGGAGGCGAGGGCGGATTGCTCGAGGTCAGGAGTTTGAAACCAGCCTGAGCAGGAGTGAGACCCCGTCTCTACTATAAATAGAAAGAAATTAACTGGCCAACTAATATACATAGAAAAAATTAGCCGGGCATGGTGGCGCATGCCTGTAGTCCCAGCTACTCTTGAGGCTGAAGCAGAAGGATTGCTTGAGCCCAGGAGTTTGAGGTTGCTGTGAGCTAGGCTGATGCCACGGCACTCACTCTAGCCTGGGCAACAAAGTGAGACTCTGTCTCAAAAAAAAATAATAAGAATATAATAAAAATAAAAATAAAAAAAAAGATATTTTGTTGGATATAGAATTCTAGGTTTCAAATTTTTTCCTGCATTTTAATTATGTCTTTTGTTGTCTTCTGCCTTCCATAGTTTCTTTGAAAATCAACCTTCTGTTGTGCCTCGAAGATACTATGTCCCTTGCTCACCCTTTTGCACTTTCTCTTTGCTCTGATTTTCAGTCATCGGTCTATGATGAGTCTAAAGCCCTAATCACTAGGATCCTGTCGCTCCTAAAAAGAGAGTCAGACTTTATTTGGAGAGATGGATGCAGTAGTTGAAGCCTTTGGACTTGATATGATGTGCATGTCCTGGTGGCTGCAGGTGGAGACCAGGGGCACGGTGGGATGCAGGGAGGATGAGACACCTGCTGCAGTGACCAGGACAAAGGCCATGGCAACCAGGGCAAGGCGCGTGGGACAGTGAGCTGTGATCAAAGTCGCCACGTTTTGAAAGTAGCTGAAATAACATGCATGGGAATATGCATGTGTGTTAGGAAGAAAGAGAAATCAAGGGTCTTTGCTGACTGAGCTTTCGACCTGAGAATCTGGGCAGTGGCAGTGCTATGCCCTGAGAAAGAGACAATCTGAGCTAGGGAAGTAGACTGCGGGAAATCTACGGTTCTCTCTTAATAGCAAGTTTGAGACTCTGGTAAGGGGAGATGATGAGTAGGAAGCTGAAGTGGGAAGTCTGAGCTAAGCGGCTAGCTCTAAGCCAGAGATCAACAACAACCTTGAAAATCATTGCCGGCATGGGACGAGGCTGAAAGCCACTGGACTGGGTGAGACCAGCCAGAGACAAGGGTGGACGGGAAGGGACCAAGGCCGATCGCTGGAGAGGATTCCACAGAGAAGGGACAGGCAGCAGAAGGGACAGGAAGGAGCCAGAAAGTAGACAAACAGAGAGAGTGCTTTCAAGAAAGCCAAAAGGAAATGCTTCAGGAAAGAGGGAATCATATTGCCTTGGTCAAATCAGGATAAAATTTGCCACTGACTCGGGCAATTTGACAGTGAAACGGTCGTCTCAGTGGACTGGTGAGAGGAGACCCGTTTGGAGAGGTTAGGAGGAGAAACGTGGGATGAGGAGGTGGAGAAGTGAAGATAAACTCGGTTTGTGCGGGTTGCGTTGTAGGCAAGAAGCCACGAGGAATCACAAGAGCAAGCTGAAGCTGCCCAACCTGCTTGTTCTTCCTAACGTGTCCCTGGTGCTACAGAGAGAATATTCTGTTCACGTAACGGGAACGTGAAACCTAGAAATTAGGAAACAGGATTAGGCCAGTTGTTTGCTTACTAATCATCGAGTATGTCCCTTTATGTGATTGACGGAATTCAGCCCCAGCTCACACAGGAGTTATGGCCAAAGACGTGGATTTCTAAAGAAAATTCCAAGATTCCAAGAAATTGTTTTCTTCTAAGTTTCTGAGACCTGAAGATGAGTACAGAATCATGACGAACTTTCTGTTAGAAAGGAATACATACGTGCATGTGGTTAAACAGAAATTAAGAAACATAGAAAATATAGAATGAAAATGTAATCTATTTCCACTGCCCACTTGTTCCCATTTTCCGGAAGCAACACTTCCAACAGTTTATTTGTATCACCAAGCCTATCCTTTGTGTTTTACATAAATAATAATATTAAAACCCACCGCGTCGTAGTTTGGCTTTCGCTCAGCAAAGTACCATGAAGATCACTCTGTGTCATCACTTGGCGATCTGACCAGATCTCATATTCTGTTTTATGCACGTGCATATTTTATTTAAACAGTCCCTTATCAATTTCACAGGTTGCTTCTTGCCCTTCTAACACACATCCTGCAGTGAACATTTTTTTATGTAATCTTGTTGTTTGGTAAGTGTATCTATTGGATAAATTCCTCCACTGGATGCGTATTCTCAATTTTGTCATGTGCCAAATTGTCTTGAGTTTATACCATCTCTACAGAATCGGAGGCCCTCTTTCTCACAAAAATGGTCAATTACATTGATAGCCCAATTCTTTCTATTCCTTGGACACGTCCCTTGTCAGTCACTCTGTAGTCCCTCCCACGAAACAAGGGAAAAAGTCCTCCACTTGTTGGCTTGGTTTGGCGGGGATGCGCTTGGGTACGTTGGCACAAACCTACCGCAGCTTCAGGCTCCTGTCCTGCCCAGAGCTGACCTGCCGGATCAGACGGCCCGGGCCCCTGGACGAGCTGCAGGAACTGGGTCCAGATGGACACCCTGGAAGTCGGGGAGACCTCCTGAGCTCCCAGGTCTTGCTGGCCACTGACATTCCTGCCAGCTGGCACCCCTGTCCTGAGTGGCATCTCCCAGGCCTGGTGCCATCCTGCTTTCTCTTAGCCGCCTACTGGAAGCCGGACACACCCTTGCTTGTTCTTCTTGCTTGACAGACTTCCCACTCAGCCACCTTTCGCCCCTTCTGCGCTGGAGAGAATTTCTCCTGTCCCGGAAGGCGGGGCGGCGGGCCGTGGTCGTGGTTCACGGGATGGAAACGCAGGTTCGAGCTCAGGATCTCCAACCCTTTTCCCACCTTCCCGGGCTCCGAGCCTGCGACTGGACATTTTTTTCTTTCCATTTCTCGTGTTTCCCTGAGATCTCGAGTCCACACGGTTTTCCTGTCATTCCACAGTATTGGAGCACCGAGGGCAGCCTCTAAGGAAGGAGGTGAGGTACGTCCGTGCGACAGTATTTTACCTCTCCATGCAAAACACAGCACAAGCAGGTGGTTAGAAGGAGAAAACCCTGACGTTATTTTCTGTACGTAGTGACTCAACAAGAGTAATAAGAAAACCCCTACAGGCGCTTTATGGTCACTGCAAGTAAACAGACAGATGTCCTGCAAAATATTTGCTCATCTATACAGAGCACCCAGTGTTTTCATTCAACGCCTTGAAAACAAAACTGCTTCATTAAGGCATCCAGCAGTTCCTGCCCCCGGGAGATGAAAAGCATCGGGAAGCCCTCCGTCCCAGTCCCTCAGGCCACGATTGCCAATTCAACAGCAACGCTAAAGGGTTTTTGCAAAGAGCTGAAAAGCATCCAGTACATTTTTTATTCTTCTTGTTATAAATTCACTGGGTAAAAGAGTGAGTTTAATAGGGATAATTTGATTCTCCCAACGTGAGGAATGAAAGAATGTGAAGTGCCACATAAAAACCAGTTGTCACCAAGCGCTCCCTGACCTTGGGCACAGACACACAATCGATAAGTGAGTCAAGGAGAAGCGCCGCGTGGCTGGAATCCCTGACTGGGTTTCCCACTCGTCTCCTTTCAGAAGCTGCGCCGCTCTCGCCGTCACCTTGAAATTCTCACGCCAGCTTGCGTCCTAGGACCTCTGAGCAACGGCTGTTTCAATATTTGAAGAATAGTTCCAAATTTGAAGAAAAGTCTGTCATAAAATCACTTTGTATTAAATAAAATGGTGTTTTACAGAAGTCCCTCTCAGCCACAGCCAGGTGAGAACTGTGCCCTCCCCTGTCCCGGCCTTACCTGGAGCCAGGTGAGAACTGTGCCCTCCCCAGTCCCAGCCTTACCTGGAGCCAGGTGAGAACTGTGCCCTCCCCAGTCCCGGCCTTACCTGGAGCCAGGTGAGAACTGTGCCCTCCCCTGTCCCGGCCTTACCTGGAGCCAGGTGAGAACTGTGCCCTCCCCAGTCCCGGCCTTACCTGAGCCAGGTAGAACGTGCCTCCCCAGTCCCGCCTTACCTGGAGCCAGGTGAGAACTGTGCCCTCCCCTGTCCCGGCCTTACCTGGAGCCAGGTGAGAACTGTGCCCTCCCCTGTCCTGGCCTTACCTGGAGCCAGGTGAGAACTGTGCCCTCCCCAGTCCCGGCCTTACCTGGAGCCAGGTGAGAACCGTGCCCTCCCCTGTCCCGGCCTTACCTGGCTCAGCTGTCCAACTGTGGCCCGCCGGGCAGAGCGGGGAGTCCACGGTCATCCCTGGGGGGAGGGGGGTCCAGGATGGGTGGAGGGCACCCTCACCGTCACAAAAGAGCCTTGTTCCGTGCTGGCGTGCCGGTTACTTCACAGTTACATGTATTATGAGTCCGGGAGTTGAAAAAGGCCCTTGGTTTTCCGTAACGTGTTCTCAAACCACTAATTATTTCCTCCTGTCCCGAGGTGCTAAATACATAAACACGCCGACTCCTCGGCTTAAAAAATTAGGGCTTTGTTTTTCTTCCAGATGAACGAACATGAAGGATGGTTCTGTAAACTTCCCTCCCACACAGACTGCAAGCACCCACCGAATAACGCAGCACCAGGTAACGGGCCCCCCTGGGCAGGGCCGCCGGGTCGCTGGCGTTGCTGGTGTCCCAAGTTGGAGCACACAGCGAGCGGCGCGGAGACGCGCTTGGTCCTCAGAGCAGCACTCGGGCGTGTGGTGAACCCACAGCGTGCGAGCTCACCGCACCGTCTGAACATGGGAATTGGGCCACGTGACAGCACATTTTGATAAATAAAAGACACAAGCCTCGTAGATCTTGTGTGGACACGAGACACGTAAAGATGTTTTGTCCATTTGGCTGACGGACACTCTCTTCTCCAGAGAGGGGCTTTATAAATTCTGAAGCTCAGGAGCCAGATGCCCTAAATTACATCAATGTTTGAGTTACTCAATGTCCAATGTCAGCACTTCACAGTTAATGCAGGGACGTCCCAGAATCTGCCCCAGCTTCCCCAGGAATGCAGAATCCGCCCTCTCTACCCCCCGCCGCAGGTGGTGCGGGCCAGGTGGGGAAGGCTCTAAGGCTCACTGAACTTCACTGCAGGAAAACAAGAAATCGGCCACCGCCTTGCAGGTCCCTGAGTCAGACGCCGGTTCCTGGGCAGGGTGGGGCTTGGATGCTGCAGACTAAAGGGGCACAGCCGGGGAGTCTGTTGGGGGGTGGCATGGAGTCCTGTAGAGTGCAGGGTGTCGTGCCAGCCCAAGGCCCCAGGACATGAGCCACTTGGTTGGCATGGCCAGCGAGGTCTGGCCATTGGATGGCTGGCGGAGCCAGTATCCACATCACTCATGGCAGCCAGGGTCCCAGGAGCGGAGCCACCCGGCCCAAGACTCAGCTTACGTGGCCGGAGCTGGTGGGGCAGGGAGCTGGGAGCCAGCAGCACCTTAGGTGAGGGGGACAGAAGGGCACCGCTTAATGACAGAGTTCAAGTAGATAGTGGTGATGGTGGCACAAGATTGTGAGTGTACTTAATGCTGCTGAATTGCACCCTTAAAATGATGCAAATGGGAATTTTTATGTTATGTGTATCTTACTGCAATAAATTTTTTTTAAAAAGAAATCCAAGGGCAAGCCTGCCTGGAAAGCTCATGAAAATGAGCCCAAGGTGTGGGCGCCAGCTCCTCCTTCATCCCCCGTGCCCTGTCCCCTGTGTCCTCGGCTACTTCTTTGCCGTTCAACTCCCTCCTCAGGCCCAGAAACCTACAGGAGGGAGAGTAAGTCCCGGTGGAAACTTTGCCACCTGTTAGATGGCCGATGGAGTGTGGCCTCCCTGCTCCACGCGGAGCTGGAGACGCGGGAAGGCTCCTCCCGGATAAGCCACCCCCGCGCACAGACTGTGCCAGTCCGAGGGAGGGCTGCTGCTGCCGCTCGGAGCTACTGGGACAGGCACCTGCGGGCCCAGAGGCACTTGGGGCTAAAGGTTTCATTTGCCTCTATTACATATTAGACATCACCATACCCTTTGTACCCCTAAAAAAATAGATCTCTGACCACTACCGATTTAAAATCAACTTTTCCTCTTACTTAAAAAAATTCTGCATGAAACCATTGTGGCAGGATTCCTCTCACATTCTGAGGCTCGCAGAAGAGAAAAACGTCAATTAAGATCATGAGAAATGTACACAATAGATCAATTTAACCCAAGTGGCCAGAGTCTGTACTGTTCGTCTGCCCGAAGTTTATCTGGCTTTCCACGAAATGTTCCCTTTTCCCGGAGAACGCGATTATGGCCATAAAGTCATTTATCGGCCACTGTTAGGGCATCTCCGATCACGCGTCGTAGTTTATGAAGTGCCGTGAGAGGCGAGGGAGGCGCTTTTCCAGGTGGTAAAGGCCAATTCCATCCCATTGCATCCTGACGTGTGGGCTGCACTTTTCTTCCCCGGACCCCATTTAGCATATCTTTTCATTTGGCCGTGATCCCCGGCGGTCGTTATAGATCTTCCCAGTAAATGAACCTGTTCGCGTTGCTGTCACCCCCTGTGAGGATTAAAGTGGCGCTCAGCGCACACAGGAAGGAGGAGTTTGGGGTGAGGCCGGCAGGGGAGCTCCCGCCCAGCCTCCCTGGGTGCCGCCTGCCTGCCCGTACCTGCTGGAGCTTACGGGCGCGGAGAGGTCCCAGGGAGGGTCCGTTCTCAAAGAAGGCGCTTGGCAGGCTGACTTTGGGATGTGCCTTGACACAGGACTGAAGCCGAGGCTCTCCGAGGGAGGGGCTCAGCTTTCTAGATCCTCTCTGGTCTCAGCCCAATGTCGGCGGGAGCCAGGGGACACGGAAGAGGAAATGACATTACCGCCAGGTGCCAGAAGGGCAGGGATTCTGCGAAGGTGACGGAAAGGCCACCCACGAACCCCTTATTGCAGGAACGGAGGCAGACGCCTCAGAGACCCTGGATCCTGTACGCCTGCCAAACCTGGAGTGCGCTCTTTTCATGGTTCCCGGCAGAACTCCAGCTTCCGAGTGGCAAACGAGACCCCATGTCCGGGCGTGACATAAGCCTCAGACCACTCAAGCCCTGCTGGGCAGTGACGGCTGCAAGGACACTGGGTTGAAGAGTGTCCCCTAAAATTCACCTCCACTTGGAACCTCAGAATGTGACTTTCCTTGACAAGGAGACTTTGCAGATGTGAGTAGTTAGGCTGTGACGCAGCCCTACCGGGATGCTTGGGCTCCAACCCAATCCTGGCGTGTGCTGTAAAAACACCACGCGGGACGAGGCAGCGATCAGAGTCACGTGCCCGACACGCCGGCGATCTCTGGAGATCACAGCAACCCCCAGAAGCTGCTCCTTCTGAGCCTCCAGAAGACACCAACCTTATCCTGACCTTGATGTTGGACTTTAGCCTCCAGAACTGCAAGGGAAGACACTTCCGTGTTATCTCGCACCGAGTTTGGGGTACTCTGTCGGGGCAGCCCTGGGACGCTGGGTCATCCACTACACTTCCTACTTCCCCAAGCTAAAAGGAGGCAATGCCATGCCAGCCACTGCGACATTTTTGACTAATTCCAGTAATTATTCCCTAAATAAGCCTGTCAAAATTGTTCTTCTTATCATTTCCCCCCAAAGCAACAAATTCTGCTATTTAATTCCTGGAGAATAGTAACATGGGCAAAGGCACCAGGTGTCCCAAGCCTGCGGGTACAGGAGAAAGTCCTTAGGCCAATCTAGGACCTAATGGGAGAGAGACGACCTGGGCCATTCCGTCCCCCACTGGCCCTCTCTGCCTCTGCCTCTGCCGGGTGCTCTCTACAGCCCCGGGCAATGTCCCGTGCACCTTCTGAAACAGGGGACCCCTGGCTTTCACCTGGGCTCCTCCTGCTATGTATGGGGTCACTCGTTTGTGCCAAGCCTGTCCCCACCCACAAGCCCCAGTGGCCAGCCTCGAAAGTGGCAGAGCCACCCTGGGTCCTGTGCACGCCCAACTTCCCTTCTGTCTTTGGAGCCACGGCACACTGAAGACAAGCACAGATAGAGCAGACAGAATGCGAATAAATAGAACACAGACCAGAAGCACCTTTCCTTGCCTTTCAGTTACAACCAAAGCGAACGAACTGAGCCAAGTAAGTGCTCACAGGTGCGCCCGCCCCGTCTCTGCGGGAAGAGCGCAGGTGTGCGTGGGAACCCCGCTCATTCACATGCCAGCAGCTTCTCCCCGAAGTTCCTTCCCCGACCTGGGCAGCGAGCCGGTTACCACGGATCACAGCATGCAAAGCTCAGACTTTGCATAAGAAAAGAAACAGTTTTATTTCTAGATCTTTCATCAGCTGAGTGAGTGAAATCAAAGCCCCCGTCATAGGCCCTTGATCCTAAATGAGTCAGAGTCGGAAGAAAGGGGTCTCAGATTCTCCTGTGGCCATTGGCTCTTGCAGAGAGGTCCCCAGACTCCGCAGCAAGTGCTCGTGGGGAGCGGGGAGGGTGGCAGCGCTGGGTGTGGGGAAGTGCCTGACTCCGGCTCATCATGCAAGTCCATCTGTCATGCAGGAGGTGGAGCGTCGCAAGGTGATCGGCGTATCCCAGGGCGGGACGGGGCATCGGACGCCTGCCCCCACAGACTCCAGCCCAGGACAGGAAGACAGTCACCCGGTGGCTCTGGAACACTCCAGTGGCTCACAGGACCAGAGCCATCGTCGGAGCCAGCAGATTTTAGCTTTTAAAGCCAACGTACAGGGAAGGGCCCGTCTGCGAGTTCGCCGGCGCTTCTGATGTTGAATCGGGGTTGCCTGTACAAGAGCCAGAGACGGGAAAAGTGTGCCCAGCACCTTTCTTTCCAGTTGGGGTGTGTGTGTTGGGGAGACTGTGTGGCCCGCCCGACTCCCTGCTGCAGAGAGACCAGCCGGGCTTGCCCCAGGCTGGGGTCTGCTGTTGCGAATATGTCTTTGCGTTGCCAAAGTCTGTGACCATGGCAGAAAAAAAAAGTCTTCAACTCTAGACTGACCGGTGACCATCTTTGGATATCTCCAGGGCATTGCTTGCTCGGGATTTGGGGACTTTGGGGTCCCCTGTGCAGCCTGCACAGGCAGAAGGCACACAGTTGTCCTATCCCTGGCTCCCCCTGTAGCCACCGTCCCCAACCTCCCAGGCAGCCTCTGTCAACTTCCAGCAGCCTAAAGCCTTCCCGGGAGGGCCGGCACAGTAGGCCATTGTGGCCGTGTTGTGTGATGCCACCCCTGTCCCCATGTTCTCTCGTGCCTCCACACTTGCGTGCTAGGCCATGGGGATGGGAGACGCCAGGACCCTGGCACCTGACACCCTCACCTTCCTGGATCTACCACGCGCCCCCATATAGCTCCAACCCAGAAGAGATGGCAATCCCTTTCCTTCCTGGGTGACAGGACGACTCCGCCCCAGGTTTATAGCAGAACTCTTTGTTCTAATCCAGCCCTTCGTAGGGCAACTAAAGGGACTTAGTGAGCCCTTCTCTCTCCCAGCCAAGCGTCGCTTTTAAAGCCTCTGCTTGCTAGGGACTCGAAAGCCCTACTTGCTAGTCAAAACTGGAAAATGACTTTGTTTTCCCAGCTGGCATGTGACTGCCTGTCCCTCCCACCACTCAAACAGGCAAGGAGCCCGAGGACAACAGCATTTATAGTTTATGAAAATACATTTGAAACTATGTTGTAAAATATTACCCCCATTACATGGCTAGGGCGTGGGTGTTGGCGAGTCACGCCCGGCATCCTGTATGGAGTCAGGCAGAGCCTTAAGACACTTTCACTTCCAGGGGTGGGTTTCTGTCCCTTCCTTGTCTGTGCTGGGAGTCTGGAATGCAACCGTGACCCAGCAGATGGGCAGCTCTCGGACCCCGTGGCATAGACCAGCCGGAGACAGGGCAGGGGCGAAGGGAAAGAGAAAACAGAGATGGGGCACTCACGAATGCCTGGAAAGATCTAGAACTATGAACAAGCATGTGGGCTGTGGCTTCCAAGTCCAGATGACCACGGTCAGTGTGCCCTATTTCTGCCTTATTTCTCCGGGCACTTGGCTCGGAGGAGGCCGTCCTGAGAGCCGCGCAGGTGCACGGCCGGGCATGGCCTTGGAGGGATGAGCCCAGACCAGGGGATACTACTGTTCCAGAGGATCGAAGAAGTGTCAAACTTTTCAGCACCAGAAATGCATTTTAAAAGTTAAAAGTTAAGAAAAAAAGAAAGACAATAAGTAAAAATTAAGCCTGTGTTTGTAAGACCAAGAGCTATATTTTAAAACAAGACTCACACACAGTCACGAACACACACACACACACACAACACACGCACACACACACGACACACACACACGCACACACACATGCACGCACACACACACGCACACACACACGCCACCACGACATGCACGCACACACACGCA